TTCAACAGGGCTTAGCAACAGGTCAATGGCGGCCTTTGTTTAGAAGGGGTGCGCTATTGCTGCATCCAGCAGGTGGCGACGTTGTACCAGGAAATGGCCTCCCTCAGTGCCCCGGCGGCCTTTCCGTCCTTAACCCAAACTGTGATTTTCCCTTCTTCTTTGGAAATTCTGTATTATTTTTGCTGGAATCGTCAAAGGGGGCAGGGAAATGGTATGGGGACAAACCAACATGAAGCAGTTCCTCCACAGGAGAATGCCCCGTGGCACTTAGGAGATGGGGGAAGTTCAGGGATACAGCACATCAACTCCCCAACAGCAATCCATTGAATCCACCCAAAGCAACCATCCACAGGATCACTTCAGTTTTCCTCCCCCACCTCAAACTTTCCTAAACCCCATTACTTGATTTAGAGTGTCTTTCCTCCTATTCAAGTGCAATGCAAATCAAGGGCTCCATCCAAGAGCCCAGGAAAGTTCAGGGTGGTGGGGTAAGGTTGCGGAGGGGGGTGGGAAGGGAGGGCGCTAAGCCCCAGAGCTAGTTCCTCTCCGTGTACCTCTCAGTGTGTGGTGAGCACCAAGGCCCAGGGACCCCTTTCTGCCCCTACTCAGGTTCCCCCAGCTCCGTCCCTCAGTCCTTGGGGCTTTCCAACACTCCTGTGCCTGAACCTTTTCCTCTTCTGGGACAAGGTATTTTGGAGATTTGGCCATAAGTTTGGGTCCTCCCTCCTGTATTTACACAAGCATATATGGTCTTTGTTCCCCCTTGGGGACAGGGTGATCTCAGCTTCATCTCTAATTGTCTTTCTCCAAAAGCAGCTGAGGTTTTGGTAGAGAGGAAGGAGGGCAACAGGGGTGAGGAGAGAGAGGAAAGTCACTACATGCTTTTATTTTTGGTTTTGGGTAGCTGGTGGTGGATTGGGGTCGACCAAATGAACATTTAATGTTTTAGTTGTCCCAATGCTAGTTGCAGTGAGCACCGTGGACAGAGTCCAGAGATTTGGTGGAGGCCAGGAAAGAACTGGAGAGAACTGGGGGCTTGATAAACAAGTGACAAAGTGGTTCTTGCTGAGTGAGATGTGAGGGAGAGGTGAATCCAGAGGAGACACTGGCTCTGAAATGGGCTACAGCCCGGAGGGAAACTGATCTGCTCACTCGGTGGTCTTTTTCCTCCTTCCTTTGGACCATCACCCCTACTGTCCCATCCAGAGCTTTTCAGATCTGCACATCTTCCTTTTCCTCTTCTTCTCCTTGCCTCCACCCCCCCAAAGCTTTCTTTCTAGGATGTGTTAAACCTCTCTCTCCTTTCCCTGGTAAGGACCCCAGTCATTGGATTTAGGGCCCACCCTAGAGATCCTCAACTTAACTCAACATCTGCAGACTCTATTTCCAAAAAAGTCACATCCATATTTACAGGTACTAGTGGTTAGGACTTGGACATATCTTTTTGGAAAACACAGTTCAAGCACCTACAACCTCTAACATTTTCTGTTATGTTACCTAAATATCAATATATTTTTTTATTATGTTAATCACCATATATTACATCATTAGTTTTTGATGTAGTGTTCCATGATTCATTGTTTGCGCATAACACCCAGTGCTCCATGCAGAATGTGCCCTCTTTAAGACCCATCACCAGGCTAACCCATCCCCCCATCCCCCTCCCCTCTAGAACCCTCAGTTTTTCAGAGTCCATCGTCTCTCATGGTTCGTCTCCCCCTCCGACTTACTCCCCTTCATTCTTCCCCTCCTGCTTTTTTTTTTTTTAACATATATTGCATTATTTGTTTCAGAAGTACAGATCTGTGACTCAACAGTCTTGCACAATTAATATATTTCTTCCCATAAAAGAGTCCTAGTTAATATTTCCCTAGGTTTCTGGTTTCCTCTCTCACTTTCAGGTCAGAGCCCAAAAGTCCTATAAAGATAATTCAGTGGCTTTATTCTCCTGACAGACTCCAGACTCATACTGTAAGTATGCACACAGCCAAGACAGCCCAGATTTCATGAATAAATCCCAAAATCCCCTAAAGAATACAAGGCATTCCCACAATATTGGTAGGCCTACAATCAAAAAAAAAAACCTGACACCACAAAATGCTAGTGAGGATGTGAAGCAATGGGAACTCGCATTCACTGCTGCTGGGAAGGCAAAATGGTAGGGCCACGCTGGAAGATAGTTTGGCAGATCCTTACAGAGTTAAACACAATCTGACCAGATGGTCCAGTAATCACACTCTGAGGTATTTACCCAATTGAGTTGAGAACTTAGGTTCACACAAACATTTGTACGCAAATGCTTACAGCAGCTTTATTCATAATCACCAAACACTGAAGCAACTAAGATATCTTCCAAAAGGTAAATGAATGTACAAACTGTGGTATATCCATACAAGAGAATATTATTCAGTGGCAAAAATCAATGAGCTCTCAAGCCACAAAAAGATGCAGAGCAACGTTCGCTGAATATTGCTAAGTGAAAGAAGTCAAGCTGAAAAGGCTCCATACTGTATGATTCCACTCCGGTAACATTCTGGAAAAAGGCAAAACTATAAAGACAGTAAAAAGGATCCGTGGTCCCCAGGGGTGCAGGGGAGAGGGAGGCAGAAGCAGGTGAAGCACAGGGGACTTTTAGGCTGATGAAACAATTCTGTACAATATTGTAATGGTAGAGATCTGACATTATTGCACTTGTTAAGACCCACAGAACTCACAGCATGGACAGTGAACCTTGATATATGCAAATTTAAAAAGATTTATTCATTTATTTTTAGAGACAGAGAGCATGAGCAGGGGGAGGGGCAGAGGGAGAAGGAGAGAATCCTCAAGCAGACTCTGCACCAGGCGTGGAGCGCGATGCAGGGCTCGATCCCGAGACCCTGAGACCACGACCTGCTCCAAAATCAAGAGTCGGTTGCTTAGCCGACTGAGCCACCCGGGTGTCCCGATATATGCAAATTTTAAATGTCACTTAGGTTGAGAGGTGAAAGGAAAGAGTGGAGACTGTGACAAGAGAACCTAACTGCACTGCAAATGTACAAAACACTTCACTGAAGGGCATGGAACGACAGTCACTTTGGGAGGGAGTCTGTAAGACTAGAGGCAAAAGAGATGGCACACACACCCCCCACTGTAGTTGTCCATGTTATTTCCGTCCCAGTACAGGTGAACAATTCTGATGCCGCTTTGCATGAATACTGAATTAAACAATTAAGCGGGTGGGGGATGGTCGGAGCCAAGTTTCTCACTGTTGGACTGGGAGTTCACAGATGAGCGAGGGAGGAGGCGAAAATGACCCATGTGGGACTGGACTACAGTGGGAGACATCAGTAAAAATGGGTTCAACTTAATTATACATCCAGACAGTTACACGTAGGAATGTTTGTAGATATATGTATATGCAGTTGCCCTCCCCCTTATCTGCGGGGTATACGTTCCAAGACCCCTCGGGGATGCCTGAAACCTATATATACTGTTTTTTCCTCTACACACACACTTATGATGAGGTTTAATGTATAAATGAGGCACAGTGAGAGATTGGCAATACCTAATAATAAGAGAGAATGATTATAACAATACACTGGAATAAAAGTTATGTGAATGCTGTCTCTCTCCCTCTCTCAAAATACCTTATTGTACTGCACTCATCCTTCTTGTTATGATGATGTGAGGTGGTAAGTTGCCCACCTGATGGGATGAAGTGAGCTAGATGACATAAGGCACTGTGACCCAGCACTAGGCTACCATTGACCTTCTGGCGATAAGTCAGAAGGAAGATCATCTGACCACAGGAAACTGAAAGCCCAGAAAACAAAATCAAGAATAAGCTGGGAAGGATGACTGCACATAAGTTAATACACACACACATATTTCTTTTCTCCGGCTGCTAAGTGAGCATAAAAGAAATAACACCTAATAGCAACAAGCATACCTAGTGCCCAGATCTTGGTTTCTAATACTGTTCTCCATGAAAAGTAACGGGCTCCTTGGAGAAATGGCTGATTCTAGGGCTGGGGCAGGAAATATACAAGTGGAGCCTGGAGCATCTTGTAGGAGCGCAACATAAGAAAGTGCTCAAAAAACCAGGAAACAAACAACACACCAATGAGGATATGTCAAAGGGATATGTACCCTTGATATGATACGGTGAAAAGGCACTTTGCCCCTCCAGTCTCCAAACCCCACAACCCCAGTTTAATCATCAAATTCCAACAGAAGGACATCCCACAAAATACCTGAGCAGTACTCTTCTTAACTGTCAAGGTCACTAGTCAAAGTCTGAGAACAGGCAACAGGAGCCTAAGGAGACATACAACTAAATGTAATGTGCTATGCTCCTTGCGACCCTGGAACAAAAAAGGTAAAAACTAAGGGCATTAAGATCACAGTGATATGATCTTTAAGACATTCTCTTTGTCCTAATAGCCTGATAAATATAGGAAGAGTGATATTACCCTCTGAATTTCAGAACACATATATCCTGGGTTTTAGTAATATGATGATTTGGGAAATTCTAAAGATTTTGTGTGAGATTATTTCTAACCAAGCATTTAGTTCCTCAATTAAGATTAACTGCAGCCCTAAATTGTGCTACTGATTGACCCACACATTTTCTAAGCACTTACTTTCCATCTTCCAGACACCGCAGATAAAGAGATGAACAAGTGTTAGATCCTGCCTTCAAGCACTTGAACTTAGGGGAAGACACAGAAGATAAGGGAAAACACACACACACACACACACACACACACAACGGTGACACCAGTGTTAAGTGTCACAATCCCATCATTCTTCCCATTGCTCGACTTTAAAAACGGGTTAACAGCCCACTTGTTAGGATTATAGTCTTCATGTGTTTAGAGAAGTGGTGCAGAGGAAGTGCTCTATAACAGTAATTTTTTAAACAGAAGTAACCATTTTGGAATTTAGGAAATGATCACCATTGCCTATGGAATAACAACTCCACTGAAGCGAGGAAATAAACTGAATTCTCACCATCCTCAATCCTCATCACTCACCATTTCCACATCCTGCTGATTTATACATTCTTCTGTATATGACTGATTTATACATTCTACTGCATTTGACTGATTTATACATTCTTCTGTAAACCACTGTCCATGGTTTTTCTTCATATCAAGGAGGATGGATTCCATAGTACACCCAAATTCAACAACATGAGATAACCCACTTTGGTACTTATAACCGAAGCCAGCAGTATGCATGGCTACCAATGAACCTTTTGCATCAAACACTGGGGAGCCAGAAGCCCCAAAGTAAAAAGAGGTGTCATAGGTAATCACATCAGGATCATGAGCGATGTATTGGAAGCTTCTTTGAGTGTACATATGGATATATTGCATGTCATCACTGCTACCCTCTCCCTCTCTAGCCTGAAGATGTTCCTGCAATTTCCCTATTCGCTGCTCCAGAGGGATCACAGTGCAAGCATCACTAGACTTTGCCTCTCCATATGGGTGGCCAATGATATATATCAGCCCACTAAGTGGTGCAGGGGCAATTCTATGATAGAGTCCCAAAGGTACTTGTTGTCCATTTGCCTTCAGTTGCAGAATGGCATAATCAAGAGTTGCATCAGATATCTTAAACCAAGGCTCAACGAAAAAGCAGTTCTCTTCTTTCTCAGGGGGCCCTTCATAAGTAAACGTCACCCTTACGCACTGACCAATTATGTATGCCCACTTACTTGGATCTATTCCTTTTCCCACAATGTCATTTACTGTGTGCCGACAAGTTAAAATGAACAACCTATTAAAAACAAAGCAGGTGGCAGAACCCCTATTTCCATTGTTGTCCCATGACAAGTACCCAACTGAGTCACTGAGATGAGAAAGAAGTTTGTGCATTTTTACCAGGGTAGAGTTTTTTGTCAGTTTCCCAAAATTTACTTCTTGCAATTTAAAAAATGCTTTGTTCTTTTTATTTTCCAATTTCTTCCTGAAGTTGTCTCTGATTTTTTCACTTTCTCTCTTCAGACTGGGGTACTGAGCCACAATTTCTTCTCTCAACACAGAGGTGTGTCTTTCCTCTGACTCCAAATTCTGAGCAGCTCCGGCTCCAGAGCCCGTGCTTTTCTCAACTTCAACCTCAAAGAGCTCACCTTCCAGGTTGTCAACAGTCTGTGTACTTTCTAGAATGGAGTCCAGATTTTTGATGAGTCTCCAGTCCTCCTTCTCCAGGAAGGGGAGAAACCTTCCGTCCTTGCACACAGCGTCCTTGATGGTTTCTCCTTTGAAAGCGTAGACGCAGAGTTTGCACCCTTCTTTGTGAAGATGCCTGCACTTAACTATCTTTTTCTTTCTCTTCCCAATTGCATGAATATAAAATTTGACACAGTCAGGGGACACCTTGTCATGCCGGCCAAATACCTGGCTCCCTTCTTTCTGCCTACTTCTACTCTGGGCAAATGTGATTAGCAGATGGCAGCTTTCAGGAAAGCAACTGAGGGGCATTCCAAGATTTATGTAGCCTTCAATTCCTTCCGTGCCAAGCACGAGCATTTCTTTGCCCTGCTGAGTTTTTAGTTCCTTCTCGACAGCCTTTAGAGTGTTGAGTGCTGCGTATAAGCTATCCCCTGCACTATGTGTGAGCACGTGCTTCCTGCGGTTCACAGCCAGGGTGATGTTAATTGTCTTGTTTGGGGGCATGGTCTGGTCTTTGGGTCCTTGAGCCTGGGTGTTAGTTATATCTTTTGGACCTTTTTTAGAGCCCATCTTCATTTGAGGAATACTGGAATTATTCTCTTGGTTTTTACTGACCTAAAAATAAATGTTAAATGCTTTAAAACCCTGAATGCAACCTTACACAAGGAGGATTCATCAAAGAGCAGAAATTCCCTGAAAAATTAAGAGCATTTGATTTCTATGCCTGAATGAGAAATTTTCCCAAGTCACATTCATCATGGCATTGGTGTGGACAGATACAAGTTCATATAGTGGCAAGATCACTTGCTGGTCCATGGAAATAACAAGGCAAGATGGTTGTAAAGATTCAGTGTACCGTCACGGGTAACAATACCTAGCATGATGACTGGCACGTTAACAGATTAACTTTTGTTTCCCTTCTTTGTAATGGTGCTAATATTCTGGATTAAAAAAAAAAAAGGAACATAAGGTAATATAAGTTTACTCTGGGCACAATATAACAAACTCTCAAAGAGCACCTCTTCAGCCCAGTGTTGTCAGAAACAGCCTTGTTGGAACACTGTAATGGATTTCCAACTATTCAGAAGATTCTAGGGCAGATACAGACATTTTCAAATAAGGGAACCAGGTAGCACATGGTTATTAGCTGGCTTTGTCACGAAGTAGGACAAAGAGAAGCATAACTAGGCTTTTCTCAGCTTCCCTAGGTACTTGAATATTCTAGCTGCAACCAGATAAAAGAAAACAAATGAAAGCTTTTACGTTGCATCCTCAAATTCTCAAAATTCTCAGCCTTCTTCTTGATAAATGCAAGGAGCATTTCAGACTCAGGAAAGAATGTGAGGGTTTGATAACAGAGCCCCTTTATTAGAAAAAGCCCTGACTTAATGTCAGTAAATATAAGTGCAAGTCTTCCCTTGTCTGAGACAAGTCTGTCTCAAGCAAGAAGTCATTTCTCTCTCTGCATAAATAAATTGAGGATAATAAAATCCTCCCTCCCTGCCTAATAAGGTTATGATAAGGATGATTATTTTAAAATTTGTTTCATAAACTAGAAAGCATGGCACAAATGTAGGTTATTACTGTGATCAGATTAGCCATATTTGGAATAGTATATATTTTCATGCCATGAAATGGTATTACTTTTTTTATTCCATAGTTGACTGTAATACATTATAGTAGATTTTTTGTTGTTGTTGTTCAGGAAGTGTTACAATAGCTTTTTACTGAAGGCTGTTTTGATGTGGCCAAGATTTGTATTAAAACTGTATTAAAACTAAGAAGTAGAATAAAATGGATGAGAAAGCTTTTAACAATATCCTCAACCTACAAGAAGGTAATTTCTTGGCAGAAAGCACTATGACACCCAGTGTCAAGGAGAGCTATGTTTCATATTGGCATATTCCATAAATAGTATTTACAAACATACCTGAGAGAAATAGTGCTCAATTTTCATATTACTCTTCTCATCGAACGCGATCTTCTGTGACCTGCGCTTCTTAGGGCTCATGATGGTTTGAAGATGAAGGGACAGTTAGCTGAAACACTAATTTCAAGAAGGTTCGTTAGAATGGCATTTTCCCATAGCTATGTTAATTGTAGAAGATAACACTGATGGGACCCCATACCCCACCCTTCCCCTTTGCCTCTAGCATCCCTCTCTTCAGAGATGTTAACTTAGCAAGTAGATAGCTTATCCAACAACTACAATCACTTTGATGATAAAAGCTCCCTTTTATAGAGCACTGCCTGTCAGGTATTACACTAAACACTTTAAATTATCTCCAATTGCCAATTCCCCTAGAAACTATGCAAAGCTGGTATATTTGCTTTTTGCAAATGAAGAAAATATAACTCAGAGAAGGTAGGTGACCCTCAAGGCCAGAGCCACATGGCAGAGATGGAATTCAAATGCAGAAGGGTTTGTAGTATGAGAATTCAAAAGTGTGTTCTAGTTACAGGGATGTTAAAATCTGGCCCCCATTTAAGGTGGGGGTGGCACAGGGATGGTGTAATTACAGGGGATGGATGGGAAAAGAACCATAAGGACAAAATAATCTTGGAATGAGAGTTTACCTGGGAAGATAGTCAGGAAGTTTAGTTGCTCCTTGTTTTTTTTTTGTTTGTTTGAAGGGATATTTTTCCTTCTATCTTTCCTCTGATGTCTCCCCAGAAGAGAATGAACAATGTAAATAAAACACTGAAATCCTCATTAGCAATAAATAGAACAAAAGCCATGGAGGGCAGCAGTTCTCCTTGTTCAGTATCCCAACATGTACCACGATGCCCGGCATGTGGCGAGCTCTCAATAAAGACACATTTGTGGGGCGCCTGGGTGGCTCAGTCGGTTAAGAGTCTGCCTTCGGCTCAGGTCCGTCATGATCTCAGGGTCCTCGGGATCAAGTCCCACATCAGGCTCCCTGCTTAGCAGGGAGTCTGCTTCTCCTGTTCCCCTTGCTTGTGCCCTCTCTCTTTCTCTCTCTCTCTCTCTGTCAAATAAATAAATAAAATCTTAAAAAAAAAGACACATTTGTAAATATCCAATGAATGAATGGAGTACGCACGTGAGACGCTATGACCTATCCTAAGTGCTTTTTTATAAATTACCTCATTTAATTCTTCCAACTCTGGGTGATAGGTATTATTAGTTCCATTTTACTAATAAAAAACTTGAGCATCCAGAGAGATTAAACTATTTACTCAAGGTCACAAAGCTCCAGAGAGTATACTTTTGATTATGAACATTTTCAAATAGGAACAACAAAAAAAGAGAATAGGATAATGAATTTCCATATGCTTATCACATAGTTAATGATTGTTTATTTTTTGATAAATTTGCATCATCTTTTTATTTTCCTAGATTATTTTACACTTAGATACATCGTGACATTTTATCCTTAATTGTCTCTTTCCAGCTCTACAAATTAAGAACTTTTTCTTGCATAATCACATTATTTTATTTGGACGAAGAGCCAATTGAGGTGCACAAGTTGTCTTTAATTATTATGTCTCTTTCATTCTAGAAAAGGCCCTGATTTATTAAAGAGAACAGAGAAGTTGTCTGCAGAACGTTCACCTCCTGGGCTGCTTTATCATGTGGTTAACTTACGCTCTAGCGCATCTGTTTCTTGTCAAGTTCAAGTTCTCTAAAAACTACGACTATTCTCCGAACCACTTCACTATGGAGCAGGAGCAGTGGCTTCATTCTTTACTGGTAATGAGCTACCCAGGAAACTCTAGCATCTCTGAGCCCAACTCTCCTGTTTGTAAAATGAGGCAATGACTCTAAGTGAGGTAAAGAATCTGAAGGTGCTGCATCAAAGTGAGTTTTTGTAAGACCACTTGGGTTCCAATATCAGATGACCTTTTACTGGCTGCCTGACCTTGGGCATGTTAATTAACTGCTGTCTATCTCTTTGTCCACAGCTCTAAGATGGAAGGAGTGGTGGAATCTGATTCCCTTGTGAAGACTGAGAAATAGAATGCGTGAAAAGCCTTTAGAACAGTGCCTGGCACATAACAGGTTGCACAGTAAATATTGCTGCTGTTACTATTATCAATATCAATATACTTACCGCAGGGATACCCAGTAAATACCGCTACTGTTACTATTATCAATATCAGTGTACTTACCACAGGGATACTTTTTAAACAGCAGAGAACCTGGGGAAACAAAAACAGATACTTATCACTGGGCTGTGTTGGAAGATCCTTGAAGGCAAGAACTTAACTGTCCAACAATTAACAGAATCTGGGGTTTCAGTGTGTCCGTTGATGATGACCCAATCTTAGGGACTGAGAGAGAACCTAGGAGATTTAGGAGTGATTATCATATATGGACCAAAAAAGGAATATGAAGTGGACAGAAGGAAATGTGAATTTTGCACTACACTGGGATGAACTTGAGCATTCACAGTGGAAAGGGGCAAGAGATTAAGAAAACACCCCAACATCCCCCCCCCACATCATTTCCAGTATCCAGCGAGAACCATGTGATAGCAAATGTGAAGTGTCCTTAGCTAGGTATCCTACTCCAGCCCACTCTTGGAGAAGGCTCTGCTGACCTAAAGGGCTTGCCCTAAGTCCTCCAGTAAGGAGATAAAGATATACAGCCTGTCCTTGGTCCATTTCCTGCCCACCCAGAGGCTCTCCCTTGGAATTCCCCCCCAACTCATCTCTCTCTTCCCCTCTTCCTCTACCTCCCCAAGCTCTGTCTGCTTCTCCTCCTTCTAGCTCCTCCCCGCCTCTTCCTCTCCCACGCCTCCCCCTCCTCTCTCCCTCGCCTCCCCCTCCTCTCTGGAGCAAGTGAGCAGAGCTGAGCCAGACTGTAGGAGAGGGATCGGGTCTCAGCCGACCTAGGCCTCCCGCAAGGCCGCCACCCCGCTCTCCCCAGTACACGACGAGACAAGCAGCCGCCACGGAAATAAAAGCTGGGCCCTCTGGGCCCCGCGGGTGGGCGGCGCTGTCCCGCCCCGGCCCCCAGACCCCAGCCCTCCGCCCCAGCCCCGCACGCTCACGCGCGCTCACCCAACCCTCGCCGGCCGCCAGCACCCGGAGCTTGAATCCAGCGCGCAGCCGAGGCCGGTGCTTATTGGAGGAAGCCAGGCCTCTGAGCCCTCGCCGGAAGCTGGCCTGGGAGGCGCGCCCCTGCGAGCTCGGCGGGCGCAGAGCCGGCGCGGAGCGGGCGGAAGGCGGGGCCTGTGGTTCGAGGCGTCCCGCCGGTTGTGATCCGCTACTCAGCGGGCTGTTGGGTTCCTTCCACTTTCTTATCTAACAGCCTCAGCCTCCAAATCTACCCACCTCTCCCCGCCGGCACCTCCGGGTCTTCGCTTCTTTGGACACCTGGGAAGCTGGCCTGGCTGTCGGGGGTCTCCAGAATAAAATAAATAAAATAATAAAATATAAGTAAAAATAAATAATAAATAAATAAATAAATAAATAAATAAAATGATATAAATAAAATAAAATATTAGCGTGTTTGTCTCTGTCCCTCCAGCCCGAAACAAAATCTCCCCAACGTCTTTCGTCCCCACCGCCGGGTTGAGAAACAGACATGGGAGTCTACGCCTCTTCTCGTCCCTAGGAACTTTTCTGTCACACAAGGACAGCCACAACTGACACGGGTAGAGACCAATTGTTGAATTGCTAAGAGGGCGGATTTTCGTCAAATCTAGACCTTTTGAAGTTTTGGTCAGATAATCAAAAGGATTCCTTAAAAGGTTTCTTTACTCCCAAGGGCAAAATAAACTCAACACTTGGGGGAACGCAACGAAAAGAAGCTGGAGCTGAACCTCATCATGCAGGATCCACTTTTCCCACCATTGAGTTCAGAGGGCACCGGAGAGAAAGTTCAAGGGACCTCAGAGGTATACAGCAGCAGAAACTGACTAGGTGTTGTGAGGTCTCCAAGGATGTCAAATGCTGGCTCCCAGAAGTCTCAACAGAACCGCCTGTTGAAAGACAAAGCTAAGCCTACTGCTTCTTGAGGTTATGGGGAACAGAACTTTGGTAGTGTCTCAGAAAGGGGAGAGCAAGTTTGGGCTCCTTATTGAGATTCTGAAGTCTGGTTTAAGTCGGGTCTTTAATGTGGGGGATTGATTAGGATAGGGTAAGCATTGGGTGACAGTTTAGGATTGGTGGATGACAGGCAAGGATTTTCAAGAAGGTTTGGGATGGAAACTGTACTTTGATGTTTTCGATTGAAGAGTGCAGGGGTCTTTGAGGAAGTTCCTGGAGTAAACAATAAAGATATTTGTAACTTTCATGTCCCTGGGCAAAAGTTTCCTGGTATAGTAAATTTATGCTGATGAAAAGAGAAGATAAGTCATATCAATGTATTAATGTAGTTAGCAAGCTATGTGAATGTAGATGGCTTCGGTACTCTTAATGATGAACATGCTTGAGAACATCGTCACCATTTGTCACTTAGAGTATTGAGTATTTTATCTTGGAAAGAAGCTCACTCAGGAAAACACATTCGACATGATTTGTTTGCTATACACAGAATTCAGACACAGAGAGGCTGATCTTCCTAGGAAACATTTTAATAAAGTTAACGTTGGGTCTTCAAAGACACATCAGTTTTTAAAATTAGAACCTGCTCTCCCCTTGGGCACTGCAAAAGAGATATGCATGCTTTCCTTTTACTCTAAGTTTCCAGGGACAGACCACAGTCCTTTCAGGAAACAACAGTATCCCGGTGTATGGGGTTTTTCTGCCCCCTCTCCCCAGCCTGAGGTTTTTCTCCTTCGTGACCCTGTCAATAAATTTTCTCTAAACTCTAAGTCAGTTCCAGAACCAAAGGGGGTAACTCACCGAAGGGAAGAGTTCGCCCCGGACCTAGCCTTCACTCGCTTTCACTCGCGACTTTGCGGGGGACGGACGTTTGCCCCCAGCCAGGAATTCCGCCTTCTGGGGTAGCTGTCTGTGCATCTGACCAAAGGACCGAGAGATCCTGAGTCGCTTTGCTCTCATTGGATGGCTGCTCTCTTGAGGAAGCCGATTGGTCGC